ATCTTATCATTAATCTTAAATCATTTGAAATTTTGTATAAGATTTGTTTTTGCTATACAATCATTTACATATTTAATACTTACATATTTAAATTTATATTTATAAATTAATATGTTATAATAATTTTTATTCTAAATTTTAAGATTATAATTTTCCAAAAAGTTGAGATATATAAATAAGCTAATATGTTTGATTCAGTAATTAATATACTTAAAGAAAGATAACTTAATTATTTGTTTTATTATTAAAATTTATTTGTTTAATTATTTGTTTTAGTAAATTGTTATAAATTATAAAAATAACATAGTTATTTTATAGAATTATATAATATAATTCAAATTTCGAATCATTTTCATATTTATATTTTGAATTGATAATTATATACAAGAGAGTGATATAGTTAAATTAAATTTTGACTCAATTCTATAGAGATTTGATAATGATAATAAGCTCAATAAACTCTCAAGCCAAAACCATTGTATTGATTTATTATTATAATAATTATGAAAATAAAATCATTTTTTAATGAGGTCCTATTGCTTTACGATACTTTAGGATATTTATTGAAATTTATGAAAATTTTCAAATCAGATTAAAATGAGAGTATCGATTTTTATTTATAAGTGTTTTAATAATTAATTTAACTAAAATCACTATCTTCACTAATTTAAATTTCAACATATGATGAAATTATTTTAGAAAAAAACTTTTAGAAAAATTAAATTTAGAAAAATAAAATTTTTTGTTATAAAATAATATATAGAGAGAATATATTATATATATTGTATTGTTTATATTGTATATTATATTATATTGTTATATTGTTGTTTTATTTAAAATGGAAAACTTTGTTTATTTTATACTTGTTTATTTTGTACTTTTATAGTTTTTGAAAAGCATTTAGGGAATAAAAATAAGAATGTTTTTAATTATATATTTTAGAATAATTTAATATAGAATTTAATATTATCCATTTTATAATAAATACGAATGCGAATTGATACTTTTATCATTTCAATATCTCATACAATTATGTATAAGCAAATAATATATTCAATAATTTAATGTACTATAATCGAAAAAATAATTATTTCATAATATATTGTATAATAGAATCCTGTATCTATAGAGGATTAGTTTGTGACTAATAACAAACCTTATTACACATTTATATATATATACATATATTTTATTTATTACATAAAATTATATATGAAATTTAATTAATTTGCTAATTAGTTTTTTATTAAGTTTTTTTATAAATAGGATTAAATTCAAAATTATTACTTACTATTATTTTTATTATTATTGGTTATATATAATAAATGCAATTTCTTGGATCATAGATAAATGAAATAGCGAATATTAAATCTGCGAATAGCAAGAAATATTAAAAAATATAAAATATATTTTTAATTTTAAACATCGAAAAAAATACTAAAATTAATGTATAAAAATATTGATTAGGATTTACTTCTCAAATTATACGTGAACAATTTAATTTTGGCTCATACCATGTTGTATCACAATATAGCTTACCGAGCATGTGAAAAGTTTAAAAAGAATGTGTTTACATCATTAAAAGTAAAAAATAAAAAATATCAAAAATATGTTAAAAGTATGATAAAATAGAAAATACTGATTAATAATAAATATATCTTTTATTCATATACTTAAAACTTAAAAGTTTAAAACCAATCACCATAATAGATGATCAAATAGACCATAATCATTTATTTTAATAAATGATTTAAGATGTCATGTGTAATATAACTTTATATTCATACTTTACATTCATATAATTACATTCATACTTTGAAAAAAGTTATGTAACGTAATTATTTTTTACTTAATTATTATTATAATATAAAACATTTAAACATATTTTTTTGAAATATATTAAAAGTTTATATGACGAATAATCTCTAATTCATTTCTTTTAAAATGCGACCGAATGATATACACAATATTAATATATTGATGGGATATCATTTAGAGAATTCATCAAATAGAAACAAACACAAAAGTTAATACAAAAATATTAATTGAAACATCTTTTTTATTATTATAAATGATTAAAATTTGTAATAAAGATAATATAAAATAAAGATAAAGATAGAGTGAGACAGTTCGATTTTTGTTACATTTTACTGTTTTCATCTCGCTTCGCTAATTCAATTGCTTAAAATAAATAAATTTTAACTAACATTTTTGTATACTAACTTTTATGTTGTCTTGACCTTTAAAATTTAAATAATGTCCCATAAACATATTAACACTATAATTTTAATAATTCCTGTAATGTTTTTTTAATTTTTTTTTTTATGAAAATATGCTTAAAAATAATATTTGCATTGTTTACGAATTTTTATAATATGTCTAATATAAAAAAATGTTTATGATGTATTAATATTATCTTTATTCATTGTCGATTTCGTCATACATTACTTTGCATGCTGCTGTTAAAACATTAGTTTTGAAAAATGTAGATGATGCTTTCAAATTATGAAGATAATGAAAGAAACGATTTCCTCTTTTATTATTATTATTAGCTCTCAATTCTTCGGCTCTACATATTGTTCTCACAGATGGAAGATAATCTATAGCTATAATTTGACGATCGAGTAATAATGATGTCGTATGAGATAAGGCTATATTCAGTCCTTTACTTAATTGTTTTCTTAACATAATATTATTTTGATATTGTATTTCATTGTAGCCAAACAATTGATCTTTGTTTATAATTTGATTACCTATCCATTCAGCTATTTCTGAACAAATATTATTGGAAGCTGAATATTGAGCACTATTTTCAATTAAAGACAAATTGGGATGCATTTTTATTTGTTCTAAATTTAATGCAGAATCTTCTATATCAATTAAAGATGACAATAAAGCTACATTATCTAATTTTTTTGTTATATCAAGTAACATAATTTTATCAGCAATCGTTTTTTCGTTATTTATTATTTTTTCTCTTTTTCTTTTATAATTATTTTCTTTAATTACTGGCTTATATATATAATACTTCATCTTTCGCCAAAATGAATCTTTAAAATTTATAGTTTGTTTTAATATTCGTGGTGGACCAGATAATAATATATATTGTAATTGTAATATAGCTTTTCGTAAATCTCCATACTGCAATAATTCCTAAAAGAAAAGAAATATTTGCATTTTTTATAATATTTATTATATTTATAATATTTATAATAACATATGATATTAAACTATTTTATATTAGATTTTTACTAAATTTTTAAAAAAATCTTTAAAAAAGATATTTAAGACAATATTTAATTTTGGATAAATTTTTCTCAATTAATTTAATATCATAATTTATACATACTGCTATACAATTAGGAGGAAGCCTATAACCGCTTTCTGCTAATGAAATTAATTCTAGTAAAATAGAAACTCTATCGTTAAAAGCATCTTTAAAATAAATCCTATTTTGTTGAAGTGCCATTTTATTCAAATGTGGACAAATGTCTCTACATGTCATAACAATTGGTCGTTTCGAATTTGATACTAATTGATATGTAGCAGAAATAAATCCTTCATCTTCTTCAAATATAATATCAACATCATCTATAAGAATGAGTGAATTTTGTGGTATTTTTGAAGAAATTATTCCATCTGAAACTGAATTGCAGAAAATAGATGTTCTTTCATCTTTCTTAATTCGATGCGATTTAGTTGCTTCTTCTAATTCTTTTAAAAGTCTTTTTCCAGTTCTTTTAGATGATGCATTCAATTCTAATACACTAAAGATACAAAAAAAGTTTCTTTTCATTATTAGAAAATATATAATTTCATTAATTAAATCTTTTAGTACTTACGTATAACCGAATTCATTTGCTACTGCATAAACACTTGCAGTTTTACCACATCCATATGGTCCCAATAATATGGCTATTTGATTATTTTCATTAATTTTTGATCGACTATTATCAGACGAATAAAATTCATCTCCACTGCTGACATCTTCATTTATAAAAGTTGCTTTCCATCCAAGTAACCATTCCTTCAATTTTATTATTGCTTCTTCATTTCCAACTACTTCACAAGAACTTTGTGGTCTATATTTATAAGTCCAATTATAACATTCAAATTGATCTACTTTTGTTTTATATCCTATTGTCTCTTTATTCTCTAATTGTTTATTTTTTTTAGTTCTTATTGTAGCTGATATCTTGGGCTTTTCCTTAACAATATGTGAAATAACATTCCACATATCTTTTACATTTGTACAATGTTTTTCTAAATCTGTTAAGGCTTCTTGAATCTTTGGTTTATTAATTCTTTCTAATGTTTTTAATTCCTTTTTGGAAAAATCTACGATATGCTTAAAGTGATTTAAATTTATATTTGGAATATAATTCCTATGAACTTTCTGTGGAATATGAAAAATGTTATTTTCATTCCATAATACATTGCTTGATTGTGTAATATGACTTATAAGAGGAAATGGTAATACACTTTGAACTTTTTTTTTTTTGTCTGCATTTTTATTATTGTTATCAATTACATCTGGTTGTAAAAACAACCGGCGAGCTGTTATTATTTCTGGATCTGGTTTTTTTCGTTTTGTAAATAAAGGAGCTAATTTATCAGATGTTTTTCTCTTTAATTTGTTATTACTAATAATTTTGTAATTATTATCATAATTTTGTTCATTTTCCATAGCATTTTCTAAATTAGAATTATGATATTTGTATAAATTTTTGTCTTTTGTCAATGTACATTCATGTTTATCAAAGTTAATTAATTTCTGTTTATTTTCATTATAGCTATTATTAAAACATTTATTGTTCGCTATATAATTGTACTTTGGATTTTTCAATTGATCACATATTTTTACTTTCAATTTCGTATGTACATTTGTTTGCTTTGATATTTCTTTATCTTTTTCTTTCAATGAATTTTCCGAATTTATATTTTTACTTGATTTAAAATTCTTATGTTTTTCTTTATTTAATACAATTTTCGTCTTTGGTGAAAATAATTCTTCATCACTGCTTCCATCTGCTTGAAAAAAAATAATTGGTAAAACAAATATAGTTAATAAAGATATATGAAATAAAATATTAGAAAAAAAAAAAAAAAATCAGCGATCAAAGTGTAAAAATTCATTGCCATCAACCAAAATATTTATAGAATTTGGGAGACTTATATATAATTTTTCTCATCATATGTATTTTTTCAGATCTTTTATATATTATATTTTTAAGAATTAAAATTAATATCTTTATTACTTTTAAGGTACCTGATATAATATTTTCATTTTTATGAGTTTGAAGTTTGATTCTTAATGACCATCTATGTTTATTATGTTGTTGTTCAATATTTTGATTTTTTTCCTTATTATTCGATACATCAATGTTTTCAGATTCAATGACTTGAATATCATCTATTTCAGAAAATTCTGGTTTACTTTTTTTACTTGATAATATTCCATTATTTAACTTTGATTTATATAATCCATGTCTAACAGTGTTTTCTATATGTACATCAGCTTTTACTACAAGAGTAGATACATTTGCCATATTTGTATGTACTAAATTAACGGGAGTTTTGCTATATGAAAATAAAAATAAATCTTAAAAATAATTCATAGTTCATAATTAAATATAAATTGTTAATTTTTTACCTGAAATAATTTAATAAATTACTAGTTTGTTGTTTATGATTTAAAATAGTTGTATTTGTATTATTATCCTTTTTCTCTTCTCTTTTTGATTTTATATGATTTTGTGTTATTCTTTCTATTTTCTCACTTTCTTTTATATCGACAATCTTCCTTTTAAAATATTTTTTATCATTGCTATTATTTGTATTTACATCTTTATTGATATTTGTTTTATCATTTGATTCTTTTTTATATTTTTTGTTACTGGTTAAACAAGTTTTAAAATTTCTTTCTTTTCTTTTTTTTTCATTTTTGATATTGTAATTATTTGTTTGCAAATCTATATCACATAAAGTATGATTTATTGTTTCATTGTGTTCAAAATGACTTTGAAAATTTTCAGAAAGAGAACACTTTTTGGGTGTTTCATATAAATTTTTTTTTTCATTATTTAACTTAGAAAATGGACTAGGTGTTTTATCAATCATATCACTGCTACTTTCTATAATGTCACATATTCTTTCTTTTGATTTCGTTCGAGATATTTTAATTTTTACACGATTGCGTTTTTTTTTTGAATTTTTATATTTCGTTTCTTCTTTTGTATCATCATTAGAATATATCGATATATTATTATTGGATTGTACAGTATTCTCAAAATACTGTGTAATATTTTTCATCCTTCATTACTACATGAGACTTTAAAAATGTTAAAATGGCGATAAAAATATAATTGATATAGATAATATTTATTATTTACTTATAGTAGAATGAGATTTTGGCGCCACAATACATGTATAAATATATTAAGATTGCTATGAATTTCATTAGAGTGTTACTGTTATTTATTCTAGGGTTTTTTCAGATATATTAAATTTAATATTCCAATTTAGTTATTTTTGTTTCTTTTTTATTTTTATATTCTTGAAAGTTTGAAATAAATTTATATATATATATATATTTTAAGCTTAAACTTTAATTTTTGAATATTTTTTATAGATTTTTTTTCATATATAAATTTCAAAAATAACGATCTTAATTAAATTTTTAATTAAAAAATTATAAGTTTTATGAACTTCTTTTTATATTTTTCATAGATTTTAATATATAAAATCGAAAATTGATTATCTTTATCAATAATTATCGAAATAATTTGTTAATTTAAAAATTATACGTATATCATATAAATTCTCACTTTTAGTATATACTTTTAGTTGTATAATGCTATTTTGAATTTTTATCCGATACTCTATAATCATTGGAAAATATTAATATGCATCAAATTCAAATTGCTTTTTGGTTAAAGAATACAAATTGTATCATAATCGAAGTCTAATATTTTTTAATTTTCTTATCAAAATTTATTATAAATAGAATAATAAAAAAAATTCAAAATTTTTAATATTCAAAATTAATATGTTCAATTATTCAATTTCTAATTTTATGTAAGATTTTCTTATTTTTTTAAAATATTAAATATATAATATATGTATAATAAGTAAAATGATTGCTAGTAAGTATTATCATATTGTATATTTTCAGTTTATATGTTCCCAATACTAAATATAAATGATAAATTGAAAAAATAAGAAATATGGTTATATGTAACGGATATATAGAATAATTCAAAAATTTTTTATGAAAATTTTTCTTCTTTTTTTATTATTTATTATATAAATTATTAAGTTTTTTAATATTACATTTTAATATTTTAATATCCATAATTCTATATTTTTCAAATTAATAAAATGTCAATTTAATAGTTATGTAATCAGTTTTAAAAACAAAAAATATAAAAATTTATGTTGATTACTTGATATATAGCGATAATGCATGAACGTAAAAATGTGTGATTTTAATTTAAATTAAATTTAATATTATTGTATTAACTCTGTTCTTAAAGAAATTATTATTTGATTTTTTAACTCATCAAATATTAAAATACTCTATTCGTTTTTTAATAATTAAATTAATTTTTATACTTTAGAAAAAGAAAAAGAAAAAACTTGTAATTTAAATTTAATAAAATTATACTGAACTTTAATAATATTTATATTTTTATTTATATTTAATAATATTTTTTGAAAAAAATATATACGATTAGATATATTAAGATTTTCAATTGAATTTTTATATATGAATATATTTTATATATGATATGTTTATATATTATATATGTTTTTGTTATAATAAATTTTAATAAATCAATTTTTTAATAACATTTTGATTGATAATTCATATTATTTTTAATTACGATTTCTTTAAAATGAATATTTTGTTATTATGAATTTGTATTAATTAAACACATTAAACATATAATTTGCGTAATATTATTATAATATTATTTGTATGTAATATAACATATAATAAAACATTACTTGATAATTTAATACTCATCAATGATTAATACGTAATGTTTTATCACGGAAAATATCTTAATAACTAAATATATATATATATATTAATAACATTATAATTTGATATTTAATCAATTAGTCAATACGATTGTTTTCTATAAAAATTTTTGATAGCCATTTAAATCAAATCAAATACAGGCGAATACACCAAAATATCGATATTTTACTAGCCAATAAAAATCAAAATTAATGGCATTTGTCATTTTAATTTGATTTCTATATTTTCACTTCTAACTTCTATTAATAACTCATTGAATGATATATCATCATTTAAAATGTGGAATGTTTATTTATTTTGTGCTATTTTTCTAATTTTGTTTATAACTAGAAAATTATATTTAAATATATATAGGGTACATAAAAATGTTTGTATTATTGTTTTTGGAGATTTGGGCAGAAGTCCTAGAATGCAATATCATGCATTATCATTTGCGAAAGAAGGTTTTACAGTAGATATTATAGGTTATCCTGGTTCGATACCTTTAAAAGAAATAAGAGAAAATTCTTATATACATATTTATTATCTTTATTCCTTTCCAAAAATAGAAAATAGTACGTGTTTAATATCACTAATATTATGAAAATTTTATAATTTATCTTAAATTAAAACATAATGAAAATATTTATATATTTCATGTATGAATTGAAAATTGTAAATTACCAATTATTTAAAATAATAATAACTCTTAAAAATCTTTATTTGAATAAAGATTATGTTATATAATTAATTATATAATAAATTTGAATATTTTTAAAAAAAATAATTTTTTTTTAATATTTCAGAATTATCTCCTTTATCTTATTATATGGCAAAAACAATATGGCAAACATTTAATCTTTTATGGCTTTTATTTACTAAAAAATTATCAAATTATATTTTGGTACAAAATCCACCTTCAATACCAACAATTCCCATTTGTTGGTTTTATTCTATTATTGTTGGTTCACAATTTATTATTGATTGGCATAATTATGGATATACTCTCATGGCATTAAATTTAAAAAATGACCATTTACTTGTAAGATTTGCAAAAGCAATTGAAATGTATTTTGGTTCTAAAGCAAATTATAATTTCTGTGTATCTCAAACAATGAAAAAAGATTTACAATTAAAATGGAAAATTATGTGAGTATATATCTATAATTATATTTTTTTGAATTTATAATTCATTACTTTTCTTTTATTTAGTGCAGAGGTATTATATGATCGTCCAAGTAATGAATTTCAACCTATATCACTAAAAGAAAAACATGAATTTTTATTAAAATTAAGTTACAAATATGATATATTCAAAGGATCAAAAGAAAATTCAACTATATTTACAGAATGTATTAAAAATGAAATAAAACTATCTTGCAAAAGACCGGGTTTCATAGTATCAAGTACAAGTTGGACAGAAGATGAAGATTTTTCAATATTATTAAATGCATTACAAGGTATGTTATATTCTAATGTATATACGTTATTTATTTATTTTTAAATTATTTATTATATTTTAAATCTTTTATATTATAGAATATGAAAATTCAATTGTACAAGATTTGTACAATTTGCCTGATTTAATTTGTATAATAACTGGTAAAGGTCCTTTAAAAAATTTTTATACAACTATTATAAAATTAAAAAATTGGAAACATGTTACAATAATAACACCTTGGCTTGAAAACGAAGATTATCCAAAAATGTTAGGTATTAAAATATAATTAAATTTTGTATTTATTTTCATATATATTTGTGCATAAAAAATATAATTCATGTTTATAGCTAGTGCAGATTTAGGTATTTGTCTTCACATATCATCTAGTGGATTAGACTTACCAATGAAAGTTATTGATATGTTTGGTTGTGAATTACCAGTTTGTGCATATAATTTTCAATGGTAAGTAATATATATTTTATAAATAATTTAGTATGATATATATATATATATATATATA